ACCCAGTTAGGCACTGAGTCCCTTTCCTGCTGTTCTTCCACTTAAACTCATCATTTCCCTAGGTTACCTTTAGTTTTATAGGGAAATCAAGTAGAGGGAAAGATACATGTGACTGTGCATCATGACAAGTTTGAACCTAAGAAGCAATGAAGGAATTCAGCTGAAAGAGAGACACAGCCGGAATTGACACAGAACAATTGCAGTGTTTATCTGCAACACTCTATACTTGCAGAAACAGGGCTGATTGCTGACCTGGTGGTAAGACTGCTGTTCTAAACATTCATGGGTTTAAAACCCACTTTGTTAAGCACAAAAAAGAGTTATACACAGCTGGCAAACCTTTCCACAAACAAAAGTGCACAAAAGATGTTGAGTTTTACTGACATCATTTTTGTTTTTTTATATCACTGGTTTTGTTCCACTGTTGGATTTTACTGCTGGCTTTTGCATTTATTGCAAAACGCCATGGTACACATGGGGCAGCTGAATAGCTGTTATATTTCTATGCAGAGTCCAAATATTTACAGAATGGAGTGATCCACCTCAGTCACTGACAGATAATGCTAGCTGTCTTATTAGTGTTGCTATTCAACATCTGCAGTGGGAAAAAGTTCCGCAGTCCCTATGACATAACTATCAATGAGTGTGATAGTTATCAACTATGTACAATATTTGTTTATTTACTTTCTTCCCAATGGGGATCCAAAGCTCTCCTCTCCTTTATTTTAAGCTTACAGCAACCCAGTGGTGTAGGCAAGGCTATGACTGGCCCAAGGTCATCCAGAAAGCTTCCATGGCAAAGTGGGGGTTTGGACCTGAGTCTCTCAGATACTACTCTAACACACTAATTACTACACCACACTGGCTCTCACATATGTACACACAAAACATACATTGGGACCAATATGCACTGGATGGATGAAAATGATTATTTACAAATACTTTGGAGAACACATTGAGGAGATATGAAGTAAAAGGCATATCTCTGCAACAGAAGGAGCTAGAAATTTACTTATTTTTTAAGATGAAAGCTGGAAACTCAGAGAACCTGGTACACATATTCCTATTCTGCTATACAGCTATAATACTATTCAATTGTTGATTTTTTTTTTTAAAAATGAAAAGCACTCCCTCTGTGGAGGATACAGCCACTCTAATGGACAAGTATTGTGGGAACCCATCCGTCATTTTCTGGATGTGAGGCAGGCTCTGCTGCCTCTGATGCTGGCAGAATGGAAGCGCTTCCAGGAGGGACAATCCTGGCATAGTAAGTCTGAGGCCAGTTTGGTACTGTCCCTTGTAAAAATGTAAAGGGTAATGAATGAAGGCCAGATCTAACTGAGCCTTCGCTGTTAGCTGGTGTCTCTCTTGCTGAATAAGAGCTGTTTACCCAGCTGACTTCCTGTCCTTTGCTCCCCATTCCTGTGTCTCCCTGAAGCACTCCCAAAATTCCAGGATGCAAATTTCTGTGACTCCGGGAATTTCAAGAGTGCTTTGCATCATTTTGGGTGTCCCTCAGCCAACCAGAAACAGCTAATTGCGGACATAATTTTGGCTCAGGTATACGGCTGCAGTGGCTCAAGTGGTTAAGACGCTGAGCTGCGGACCGGAAGGGTGGTAGTTCAGCAGTTCGAGACCCGAGTTACCGCATGACGGAGTGAGCTCCCGTCTCTAGTTCCAGCTCCTGCCAACCTAGCAGTTTGAAAGTAAGAAATTGCAAGTAGATAAATAGGTACCACTTCGGTGGGAAGGTAACAGCGTTCCATGCGCCTTGGTGTTTAGTCATGCCGGCCACATGACCACGGAGAAGTCTTCAGACAGTGCTGGCTCTTTGGCTTGGAAACGGAGATGAGCACCGCATCCCTAGAGTTGGACTCGACTGGCTTTCGAGCAAGGGAAACATTTACCTGTTACACACGGACATGAGCACTGCCCCCTAGAGTCAGATTTGACTAGCTTTCAAGCAAGGGAAACCTCTACCTTTTTATACCCAAGTGCACACCCCTAGTTCAGTTAGTATCTCATACTGTCCAGACACTCATGTGTGAAGCAAATATGTCTGACAGTTGTGCGATGTTGCCTTTGTAACTCTACTGAATCCAAACAAGTTTAGCGAATCTACATTTCCTCTTTCTGTACCTTATCAAGTGTTTCCTTTGTACTCACCTCCAAAGTAGGACCCATCTGTCAGTTTCATCTCTTTACTGGATTTAGTGATGACACCAGCAACCCCATGTTGAATGAAATACATCTTCTTTCCCACAGCTCCTTCTCGGATAATATAATCTCCAGGCTGGAACACCTCAAACCGAAGTTTGCTTAGCATGGCAGTAACAAAATTTGGGTCTGCATTTGCAAAGAGTGGCATTGTGGCGACAAGCTTCCGGCAGTTGAAGTTGACAATCTCCTAAAATGGGAAGAAGATAATCATTTTAGCTGCTAAATGTTTTATGCTGTTCTAATGCTTTGGCTGGGCTTTCCAATGCCTGGATTGTTATTTTTTGTTTGTTCGCTTTGTGAAATATCAAGAGAAAATCTCTGGAGAGGTGGCACATACATTTTCTAAACAAATAAATAATGGCATCACCATAGGTGAACTCCAAGAGACTAATGACAATCTAGTTTAACCATCATACACAACAAAATCATCCACACCATAGCACTTAAGAGGTTAGGCTGACACTGTATCATAGCAGAAACCTTCAAGGACAAAATCCTGTTTTATAGTATGTCAGCACTGATCATGAACATACTCAACTCAATTATTATGAACTTGAGAATAGAAGCATAGGAACAAGATCTTTCAGCAAATGTTCTGGCAACATATCCCATGCTTTCAAAAGCTGCTTATCAATATTTTGTAAAGGAGAAGGAATAACCACAATGTAGAATATAAATATAGTATTATCGAGATAATATGAAACATGCCTCTTCTAGTAGTCAATACAAGAGAGAGTGGTGAAAACCATGAACAAATATATATAATAAATAACGAACTTTAAAATAAACTGTAAATTGATTTAAATATAGCAATTTGTGAGTCTATTATTATCCCATTATGTATACATTTATTACACACATGCAATACAAAATTCCATCCAGAATATGAGCAATATCCAAAGTTGGTGTCAAAGCTACCTCAGCCAAAAACAAAACAGATATGCCCTTACCTGACCCAAGGGCAATTTTCATAGCCCTTGGGTTTAAATGCTGAGCTTGTTGGAGCATCAGCATCAGGTGTGTATGTGTGGGGGGCAGAAGTCTTAAAAGGACTCTTATGATAGCATGAAAAAAGCACTGAAAGTTCAGGTCTGTTTTTAAAAAGAGAGTGGAGAAAGATGGAAGAAGCAAAGTCCCACATATAAAAAGTCCATAGCAGCAAGAAATCCACAAGGTCAGTGCTTTTGCAAACTTTATTCTTAGAGAACTCTTTCTGCATTGATTTATTTGCCCCAGAAACCCACTCTTTCTCTCTGTGTGTCTTAAGGCAGTGGTCTACTCAATACCACCCTTTAAAAAAAGTGCAATTGACCGAAACATGTTGCCCAGAATAAGCAGAGGCCAAAAGGATTTAGCCAACTTTGCAAGTGATCTTACTTCCCTTATGTACTTGGATTTATGGGGATCTGAGTTATGGCCCCCCTAAGAAGGTGCCCCTATCCTCCATAGTTTCCTATGGAGGGGGGGGAAGCAGCAAAAAAAGGAGGGCAACAGAATCAAAGTCCCAGAGAATCTCTGCAGTAGAAACTGAGGGGGGGCATTTTTGCAAGTGTCATTGTGGCAATACCAACTCAACTGGACTGATGTGAAGTACAGAAGAACAATCCAAGCAAGGGGAGGTTGTAAGCTCAGTGCAACCAGTTCAGTGTACAGAATGCCTAGCAGAAGAGAGGACTAACGTCAAACCAGAGAACCCCTGCAACACAAACTGAAGGAGGGCATTTTTTCAAGCCCACCATAACCAGTTCAGTATACAGAATGCCCAGCCAAACCCAGTGCCACTGTGGCACTGCAAGCTTAAAAGGACTGACTGCAAAGCACAGTGTCACAAGAAATCCAAGCGGGGGTATTTTTTCGAGCCCAGCACAACCAGTCACATGTGCAGAATGCCCAGCAGAACCCAGTGCCACTGGCTTTGCAAGCTTAAAAGGACTTGTCTCAAAGCACAGAGTCACAGCAAATTCAAGGCGCAGGGTGGGGTGTATTTTGAAATTTCTGTGCAAGAAAATGGGAAGGGAACACAAAGGAACCCTGACAAGGGGGAGGTACCCTCTTGAAACTGACAATACTAGTTTGAAACTGATAAGAGTGTTTCCAAGGCTGGAGAATCCCCCCCCCCATTGCTTTGAAGTTTGGCAAACATTTTGTTTGTGCAGAGACAGTCTGTCTGGAAATATATCCATTCATGAACCACTATGAACCTCCATGAACTGCTTGAAAGTCTGTGGAAAGTTTGTGCCAGTTGACAAGCCACGACCTTCAGCTCATGAAACATGAACTGGCCAAAATTCATCACAAACATTTGTTTGTGAGCCTGTTTGTATCCATCCCTAATCTTTTTAAAAAATGCCAAACTGAACAGCAAATATTACTTTAGCAATTACTACTTTGTAGACAGAAGTAAGCTATTGAGTGATTAATAAGGTTGCCAGGTCCATCCGGTGGGGGATCGGGGAACTTACCAGGAGTGGGAGAGAGGCGCAAGCAATGTCACTGGAGATGTGTCTATGTCACTTCTGGTGTGTACTGGAAGTGATGATATCAAATTGCGATGTTGGGGCAATACTCTGGTATTTGGGCAAAAACTCTATGACAAAATGGCTTCTACCAGAGTGTCACCCTGGACATTACTAATGTGATAATGCCATGATATCACCACATTGCTGGCAATGTAGCCTGGGCTTCACACTCTCTCCTGGTAAGTCTCTCCACTGTCCAGTTGATTGGTAGTGGGGGGTGGGGCCTGGCAGCAGGGGACCTCTGCCTCTACTGGAATACTGCCAAATTCTGCCAAATTTCGTCCCCAAAAGAACACACAAATGAACTTGCCTAATACTGAGTCAGATCATTGGTCCATCAAAGTCAGTATGGTCTACTCTGACTGACAATGGCTTTCTATGGTCTCAGATAGAAGTCTTTTACATCACATATGACCCGATCCTCTGACTTGGATTGTCTAGGCCAGCCCAATCTTGTCAGATATCGGAAGCTAAGCAGGGTCAGCCCTGGTTACTACTTGGATGGAAGACCACCAAGGAAGTCCATGGTTGCTATGCAGAGGCAGGCAATGGCAAACCACCTCTGTTTGTCTCTTGCCTTGAAAACCCTATGGGGTTGCCATAGGTTGGCTGCAACTTGAAGGCACTTTACAAGCACACTATCTGATCCTTTTAACTAGGGATGCTAGGAGCTGTACCTAGGATCTTCTAAATGGAAGCCTGAGGGTCTTCCACTAAGGGATGGCCCCGCCACCAAAAATCTGTTGGCAGATTTGTGGGTTCCATTAGATAGATTTATCATTGGAAACCCACATGAATTTATCCTCTGGTTATAATAGTAACATCTGAGCTGAACAGGCTTGCTGTCAGTTCTAGCCCCACGCTGGTATGAGCTACCAGCCTTGTCCCCAGCTCACCGTCTACCCAGCTGTTCAAAAGCTTCGGCAAGTAGATAAAATGGGTACCACTCCATAGAGAGGGTGGGCACACTGAACCCCCCCTCCCCCTGTGGGGTGGAGCGGTGTTAGCCAACGAACGGAAGTCCAGCTCGCAGATTGAAAAAGCCTAGAGAGATCTCCTCAGCATGAAGAAAGCCTGTAATAGGCCGTTCTGGCCAGGCGGTGGCAGTGCGGCACTACAACTCAAAGGAGTCTGTAGGAAAGTTGACGCCATCAAACCAGGCCGAGGAAAAAATGCTGACCGGATCATGTCTCATCTTCAACTGAACGAAAACCCTCGTCGGCTGTGTGATTTAAAGATGTATATATGTTGTCCTTCCTTACCCCACAAATCATTGTTAGTCCCTCGTTAAAAATGAGTAACTGTAAATTGCTCAGAGCCAGCAAGCTCTGCAGGATTGAGCAATCAATAAATTGAAAGATTATATTATATTATTATTATAATATGTGTGGGGTCTGGTGGATTCCATCTAAAAAAGTTACAGTAGGATTTCTTAGTGGCTTTTAGCAGCTGGTGTACCACCGACATTAACCACATTTGACAATGCTCAGACTCCTCTGTCAGGCTACAGATCGAATGACATGGAATCATTAAAAACATTCTAACATTCTTCATATTTGGGTTTCCAACTGGGCAGTGTGAAATTTGCATGTGCCATGAGTGGAGCTCTGCTCATGGTACATAGCTTTTCTGTCCCCATGTTCTGGCTTATCTCCTGCGTCCCTTCCCAAATGTTACTGCTGAGGCTGGGGACTCCTGGGAAATAGGCGGCTTGTAGAATGGATGACTGCAGCAGGAAAGAAGATCTATTTTTTGTTGTTGTTGCAAATGTGCATGCACAGAAAAGCTCATACCTTGAATAAAATTTTGTTGGTCTTAAAGGTGCCACTGGACTCAAACTTTGTTCCAGTACTTCAGACCAACACAGCTACCCACCCGGATCTATTCCCGATTTTGCATCTCTTCAGAGCCATTTTTCATACCACCTACTGTGTGTCTTCTATTGCCTAGCCAGCTGGCCTAACACTTTCCGCCTCACCATCCTGCACTGGTTGTTTCATTGCCTGCCAGCACTGCGCTGCAAGATTTTTGCCTCAATCCAGCTCCAGTCGTGCATAATTACTTTGAGCAGAATGGGGAGGATGTCTGTCTGCTCTGCATGCCTCTCAATGGACATGCTTTGGCGTTCAAATGCTCATCCACATTCTACCCCAACTAGTCACCACATTGTACCCAAACTAGTCAATTAAGGATGACAGGACTGAGACAAGGGCATGTTGAAAAGTTGCCTTGGCAACAGGGATGCATTTCCTCCTGTGCCAACACCTTTCGCCAAGGGGTGTGAATGACTGCCAAAAAGGGAGGAAGAGAACTGATACACAAAATGTGCTTGCGCTTTCAGCTCAGCATTAAAATCAGAGCAGTGTTAACTGAATACTAGGAACACATATTAGTGAAGTCTATTCATAAATGTCTCTTGGTGAGAATACATGAAGTGTTCCCTTCTGCACAAACACACACACTTTGGCTAATGATCCAATGTTATTAACTGATTGCATTGTCCTGGTGTGCTGTATTGTGCTACTGACAGTGTTGCATAGTGAGTAGAGTATCAGATTAAGGATCTGCAGGGATTGAGGCTCAAATTGTCATTTTGCCACGGAAGCCCAGTGGATGACTTTGGAATGCATGCCTCTCTGAAATGTAACAAGAAGTCTGGGCAGGATTT